CTCGGAAGGAAGCTAAACTGGCTCTATGAGAAAACCAATGGAGTGCACTGTCTAGATTTGAATATCTATGAAATTAGTTACTCAGTTCTCTATGAGTTGTCCGTAATAATTTTATCTATGAATAATTGTTATTCTTTTACGCTTTCTCTATGGTTGAGAAACTAACCAAGAAAAGTCAAGATGGTATGTTACTAATTTTTCTACATTTATATTTTTCATAATCATCTCTTATTTATTTTATTTCAAACAATGAAAGCCACCCGTTTTTACATTTTGTTACATAATGTAAATGTTATTTTTCTTTTAGGGTATCGATATTAATCATAAACATGATCGGAAGGTTCGGCGCACAGAACCTAAAAGCCAGGATGTCTACTTGAGGCTCCTTGTCAAGGTTTGCATGTCTTTTCAATATTTTAATAATATAAAGTTACCGAATTATAATTTCATTACAGTTATATCGCTACCTAGCACGTCGTTCAAATGCCAAATTTAATAGAATAATATTAAAAAGGCTGTTTATGAGTAAAATCAATAAACCACCAATTTCTTTGGCTAGAATTGTAAGACAAATGAAAAAACCTGGACGTGAAGGCTTGACTGCAGTAATTGTCGGAACTGTTACTGATGACCAACGTATTTGGGAGATTCCTAAACTGACAGTGTGTGCATTGAGAGTGACTGAGAAGGCAAGGGCCAGAATATTGAAAGCAGGTTTGTTATAAATATTTTAAAAAAGTAATTTAGGAAGTATTGTCTAAGTTTAAGTAAAAATAAATTTGGATATTTTAGCAGAAATAGCATGTTTTTAAAGGAATTTGTACATATTTCAGGGGGTGAAGTGATTACATTTGACCAATTGGCTTTAAAATCACCAACTGGAAAGAAAACTGTTCTATTGCAAGGTAGAAGAAATTCTAGAGAGGCAGTGAAGCACTTTGGACTTGCACCTGGTGTGCCACACTCTCACACTAAACCATTTGTTCGCTCCAAGGGTAGGAAGTTTGAACGTGCACGAGGTCGTAGGCGTTCTTGCGGTTACAAAAAATAATTTGTATTGTATAATATTGAATTAATAAAAGTTATCTTTAAAAACATAATTGTTGTTACTGTATTTTCCTTTTTTAAACCAAACTGTGCATAAAATAGCTATTGTATTATTTATGGCAAGAATTAAAAATTTATTTGATAAAAAGTTAATTACAAAAATATTAAACATTTTGGCTAATCTCTTCCTAAAACACTTAATTTAAAAAGAAATACTTTGTATTGACACTAATTTCAAATTAGCCGCCATAGAACAAACATGATTGGACAACGCGATGAAAACAACTGAAAACTATTTTACCGACAACGCAAAATTCAATTTAAAACTTTTTTAACGGACTTACCACGTTCAACGGTCAAAATGTCTGTATCACGTCCACGTATTGTGTTAAATTTCGGTTGATATTTTGAAGTGTGTGTACTATGTGCATTTGTTTTCGATATTAAATAAGTTTTCAAATTATATCCATGTTGTCAGTGTGGTATATACTTCGTTTTAATCAGTTTTAATGTTGTATACTTAATACAACCAATGTGCTTTTATGTAATGTAATGTTGAAGATACCTTTAATCGATGCTATAAATATAAAAATGGTTAAAAGCAAGCGAGACTTACTGAAATCACCCAGAAGAAGATCTTTCACCCTTCTACGCTCAGGGGTACGAAATAAAATCAATGTGAATAGTGGAGCTGACATTTGTGTTGTGGTTCGTGTTAGACCACCAAATGCTAATGAACAAGGGGACAATTTCAGGTTTGTTTCTGTGTATACTTTTTTAAAATTTAAAGATAGGTTGAGAGATTTCATTTTTAGAAAAATAATAAAAGTGGTTAGTGATGAGATGTTGATATTCGACCCTAAGGAAGAAAATGACCCATTCTTTTATCACGGTGTTCAACAGAAAGGTCGAGATTTATTAAAAAAGGCCAATAAGAATTTGCAATTTCATTTTGACCGAGTATTTGGATTTGAAGCAACCAATGCAGAGGTCTTTGAAAAAAGTACAAAGTCTTTAATAGATAAACTGATGGATGGCTACAACTGTTCAGTTTTTGCATATGGCGCTACAGGTCGTTTATATCCTTTTTAATAGCCTATTTGATATTAACTTGTTTAAATAAATGTTTAAAGGTGCCGGTAAAACATTCACCATGATAGGGAAACCAGACAATCCAGGCATCACAGTTTTAACAATGTCAGAGCTATTTAAGCGCAAGGAGGAATTGTCCAATGAAAGAGACTTTGAATTGGGCATAACATATTTGGAAGTTTATAATGAAACTGTACAGGACCTATTGAATCCAGGCAGTCCATTAAACTTGCGTGAAGATGGCAAATTTGGTGTTATAGTTGCTGGTGTACAAGTTAAAAGAATAGAGAGTTGTGAAGAACTTTTTGAATTGCTTCAAACTGGGAATCAAAACAGAACACAGCACCCAACAGATGCAAATGCAGAAAGTTCTAGATCTCATGCTGTCTTTCAGGTATTTTGATAATGGATCTTCTGTTATTATTACACTAAAGTAATTTTAATAAATCTGTTTAGGTATATATAAAAATGAGTGTAAAAACGACTCAGCAGATACTTGCAGCAAAGCTGAGTATGATTGACTTGGCTGGAAGTGAAAGGGGTGCGGCCACTGGCTATAGTGGAGCACGTTTTACTGAAGGAGCCAATATAAATAAGTCCTTATTAGCTCTGGGCAACTGCATTAACAGCTTAGCAGATGGACAAAGACATATTCCATACAGGTAATAAAATTATTATTAATTTCTTAAGTAATTTGTTACTAAGTTAAACACTTAAATCACACTTTTAGAGACTCAAAATTAACTAGACTGTTAAAAGACAGTTTAGGAGGCAACTGTAAGACTGTTATGATAGCAAACGTCTCGCCAGTATCATTGAATATCGAAGACACCTATAATACTTTAAAATATGCCACTCGCGCCAAGAAGATAAAGGCTAAATTAAAGAAAAATGTCGTTTCATGCAGTACAAACATACAGTTTTATATCAAACAAAACGAAGCACTGCAACAGGTAAATAGTAATAATAATAAACTTATATATTTGCATCTGTGTGAAAATTCATATTTTTCAAGGAAAATGAAAAACTGAAATTGGAAATAGAACAGTTAAAATCCCAAGTGGCTTCTACATCATCATGTACCTGCAACAAAATGGTCAATATTGAAGTAGCATCACCTCTGAAACAAGATGAACAGCAATGTGAAGAAAAAGGAGATTCTACAAATTTGAAAATCAAAGAACAGCTAAAGGCCCTATTCACGCGACGATTAATACTCGAAGAACAAATAGCAGCTGTCAGCAATTCTATGAGTTTGTTCACTGTTAGGAAGGAACTAAAAGAGTTTGCAGATACCAGACTCAGCGGACTATGCACTGAACAGTCTGATAAAGCAGATGGACATAAACGATTGGGAACCGCGATGGAAAATTTACAAAGACAAACGGAACGGTTGGAGAATGACGTGGAGGGACTTACGAAGCAAGTAAAAGAAGTTGATACCGAAATCGAATCGCTAAATATCACGGAAGATTCAGGGGAGGTTTACGATTACTGTCAAGCCCTTCGAAGTGAAGTAGAAAAGGCCAAACTGAAATCAGAGGTAAATATGACTTTTTTCTTTTCAATCAGTTTTGTAATAATTATTTTATTCAATCTACAGGCGGACTTATACAAGAGAAAATCAGAAATTTTAAGCGGCGAACTGCGAATGCATGGGGAACTTATACAACGAATGAGCGCCGTTTTGAAGCCGTGTTTCTTACAACTGCGTGGGTACGGGTACGCCACCAACGATATGATTAAAAGTTACCACGACCTAGTACGGCACTGTCAGGGATTCCGCACAGTGTGCTGGAAAGACGAGGAAGCTTCATCTGCAGACTCTGGTGTTGGCTCAACTACTACAGTAATCCAGTCGGACGTGGGAGAAAATAAGAAAAAGACTCCTAATAACAAGAGAAAATATGCAGGCGATAAAGATGACGAAAACGGTTTAAACGAGACGTTTGTTGTGCCCCTGTCACCTGCCAAGCAGGAAAAAGTATTGACTAGAGGTGGGACCATTGAACCATATGTTTCGTCAATTGTTAATCAGATATTACATAATTTTTTTGTGACTTATAGTCTCATTAAAAAAATGTAACGTAACAAGAAAGGGTCTCTTTTAGATGTGTAATTGTCTAATTAAATTTTTATTGAATGTTCAGGCTTGTTTTAATGAGTTGAGAAGGCGACTTAAATTTATTTTTGTTTTGTTACAGTTACCAAGACAGCTCCGACAAAAAAATTAGCCAAAGTGCAGCCTCCAAAATTAATTAGGCTAACAAAAGAGAACAAAGATCCTACATTTAAGTCAAGTAAAACTCCACAAGGTATGTAAATTTTACAAAATTAAGTTCAAAAATGGCAGTTTTCAAGGTGTTTATGAATTGATGAATTAACTATCAAAATATGACGTTTTTGACTATTATTCATGATAACTATGGAGATCGATTTAAAAATACAGTTCAGAAAGAATTAGAGCCTACAGGCGTGTAAAAACAGTGACAAATTTGGTGAATCACTGCTTATTTGCGATTTTTCGATAATTTTTCAAAAATATTTTGTAAAGTATTTCCTTACATTTGTTTTCTTTTTATAAGGAAAATNGAAAAAGTTATCGAGTTTTTTGATTCATAAAATAAAAATAGATAATGTCTATATACTAGCTAAACGTAGCACTTTTTAAGTTAAAAATGAGAGGCAACTTCTTTACGAGTTTGTCAAGGTACAAACAAGTTTTAAACAAAACTTTTCAAAATTAACAGTATCAAGTATTAAAAGATTAGAAATAAAAGAAGCAATAGTTACTTCAATGATTTTTTTTCTAATCAAAGAAAATTTAAATTACACGATGCTAATAAAAAGGCACTTACAATAATAGATAGTACTAATAATAATAATTACAATAAACGGATAAAAACGTAACGGATACTAAAGTAGCAATTGTACAATTAATTATATCGATATTATTCTTTTTATGAATTAATCATGTTAGCTGCGGAGGCAAATTTTCATCAGTCAGAATAAATAAAGTCCAGCGGTGTATAAAGGTTTTTTTTTCGTTATCTGTATATAGGTGGTGCTTTCGGATAACATATACCTACCTTAATTAATTAAATATCCTCCTTCACGAGCCAACATTACAAATGAAATTAAAATTACTGATACGTCACTTAAAAGAATAAATCATTAAAACAAGTGTTTAAGTAAATGTTCATTAAATAAGCTCAACTGAAAAAAAAAAAACATTGACGTGTTCAATTCATATAATTAACAAAAATAGTTTTACATGATTTAGTGTGGATTTTAAACGTTAAAAAAGCATAAGAAATATCTTGAAGAGCTTAAATTTGATAACACTACCTCCTCTATTTAAATTTCCATTTTTTAATCTCAAATTTCATTACTTTATCATTCGATTTAAAATGTATGCAAAATTGCAGTATATAAAAACTTAATACCAGTTGTTTTGCCTAGTTGTAAGTAATAATATCGAAATGAAAAATAAAACGCGAAGAAAAAAATAAAGAAAAATTAATAGAACATACCAACATATATACGTACGAATTATTGGATTTTGAATCAACTCAACGCAAAAACCACTCGAGTGTCTCTTTACACAAACGGAAATTTTACATTAACAACATGGTTTGGTGTTAGATATCTTCTAACTCAAATCACTTCAAACATCGGTCGAAATATGTACCACCTACGAATCCACCTCGCATAGCTTTCTGAACATTCTGTTCAAACAAGCGACGATTGGTGGTCAAAACGTCTGCAGCCTCTTTATTAAGAGGATCTTCTGGATTGGGTTCTAAAAACAGATACTGAAGACCATAAACGATGCTGTTTATAGTCAGAACAGGCTTCCAATCTTCTCTGAGTATATTTAAGCAGACGTTACCCTGCTGGTCTATGTTTGGATGATATACTTGTGTTTCACACTTTACTTTCGGAGGTTCATGCGGATAATTGGGGCCCACTTTGAAACTAAACACGAAACGTCCTGTCCGATAAAAACCCTGTAATTAAACCCTGCATTAATGTGTCTAGAAAATTGGAGTTGTAATGGCATATTCAAGAAACTATAGATAATAATTAGTTATTAGAATCTTTTGGGAAGTTTCTAGAATAAATGTAGAGTTCAGTTTCGTTGTCAATTTGTAAAGAGGTTTCTATATACACCTGTGTAGAGGTTCTATGACTACTATTATCTTACAGAATAAGTTTTAATTTCGATCCAATTTCAAAGTACTTAATTCTGCGTTAATTAATTAATTAATTAATTGTTACTGTATTGTAACTTGGCCTTGAAATAAAATCAAAACTTACCTCATCCGGACAAATAATCAACTTAAAATTAAGTAGATCATCAGGGTCAGGAAACTCTGTAGTGCATGTTTTTGGTAAATTCAATTCATTAATATCTGAAAGGAAATTTAGTTAGTCTAATGGCAATATTTGCATTTGAATCATTAAATTCCTATTCCAACATTCTTAAATATAAAAATCAACAGACAAAGTAAAACAAGATTAAATCAATTACCAAACTAGTCAGCAATTCTATGAGTTTGTTCACTGTTAGGAAGGAACTAAAAGAGTTTGCAGATACCAGACTCAGCGGACTATGCACTGAACAGTCTGATAAAGCAGATGGACATAAACGATTGGGAACCGCGATGGAAAATTTACAAAGACAAACGGAACGGTTGGAGAATGACGTGGAGGGACTTACGAAGCAAGTAAAAGAAGTTGATACCGAAATCGAATCGCTAAATATCACGGAAGATTCAGGGGAGGTTTACGATTACTGTCAAGCCCTTCGAAGTGAAGTAGAAAAGGCCAAACTGAAATCAGAGGTAAATATGACTTTTTTCTTTTCAATCAGTTTTGTAATAATTATTTTATTCAATCTACAGGCGGACTTATACAAGAGAAAATCAGAAATTTTAAGCGGCGAACTGCGAATGCATGGGGAACTTATACAACGAATGAGCGCCGTTTTGAAGCCGTGTTTCTTACAACTGCGTGGGTACGGGTACGCCACCAACGATATGATTAAAAGTTACCACGACCTAGTACGGCACTGTCAGGGATTCCGCACAGTGTGCTGGAAAGACGAGGAAGCTTCATCTGCAGACTCTGGTGTTGGCTCAACTACTACAGTAATCCAGTCGGACGTGGGAGAAAATAAGAAAAAGACTCCTAATAACAAGAGAAAATATGCAGGCGATAAAGATGACGAAAACGGTTTAAACGAGACGTTTGTTGTGCCCCTGTCACCTGCCAAGCAGGAAAAAGTATTGACTAGAGGTGGGACCATTGAACCATATGTTTCGTCAATTGTTAATCAGATATTACATAATTTTTTTGTGACTTATAGTCTCATTAAAAAAATGTAACGTAACAAGAAAGGGTCTCTTTTAGATGTGTAATTGTCTAATTAAATTTTTATTGAATGTTCAGGCTTGTTTTAATGAGTTGAGAAGGCGACTTAAATTTATTTTTGTTTTGTTACAGTTACCAAGACAGCTCCGACAAAAAAATTAGCCAAAGTGCAGCCTCCAAAATTAATTAGGCTAACAAAAGAGAACAAAGATCCTACATTTAAGTCAAGTAAAACTCCACAAGGTATGTAAATTTTACAAAATTAAGTTCAAAAATGGCAGTTTTCAAGGTGTTTATGAATTGATGAATTAACTATCAAAATATGACGTTTTTGACTATTATTCATGATAACTATGGAGATCGATTTAAAAATACAGTTCAGAAAGAATTAGAGCCTACAGGCGTGTAAAAACAGTGACAAATTTGGTGAATCACTGCTTATTTGCGATTTTTCGATAATTTTTCAAAAATATTTTGTAAAGTATTTCCTTACATTTGTTTTCTTTTTATAAGGAAAATCATCCTCACATTTACTGATGAACAAGACTAAAAGCCCCATAACGACTGCTCCTAAGCCACTGTGAGTACTTCATACAAATATTTCGTTCTTTAATTAATAATTTAATTGTATTTCAGCTTGAAAAATCGAAGATGATACTTTAATGGTATTTAAATTTAACACTATTTGTATGCTTTTATGTATGTATATTGTAATAAGCCTCAGATGTATATGTTATTATTTTATTAATATAGACGTTTTATTTTGCTTTAAATTGAACGTCGTCTTATTTTTTTTAGCTTCTGTTCTTAGTAAAATAGTAATTATGAANTAAATAGGTATGCAACACATCGTACATTTCAGCATAAGAAACTGCTGATACTATGTAATACTATGCCCCGTGCTGACAGCACTCATAATTTCTTTTATATATTAGAAGAATTTTTTAAAAAACGCTGGAACTTTACAATCTTTATAATATGAATAAATTTTTTCGTTTGAGATGAGAATGAGATTAATTTCACGTGACAAAAAAAGGGAAAAAGAAATAAAACGCAGCCGTTAACCGTTCGTTCTGCTAATACTAACCGCTAACCTTAAACAGCATGAAGTTTGCCATACAGCTTTTTTTAAATACGTTGGGAAATGATACGGTCATCATTGGCAACTATAAATTAAAAAAAAAACATTTTTCAATTTACCTCCTTGCTGTTTGATCTTCTTGCTTTCAATTGCTGCTTTCCTTTGGTCAGCTAACTGGGCAACTTCCATTAGTGCTTTACTCTCGTGTTCCGTTAGATTGGACGTTAGTGTTTGGTACCATTCGGGCTGTGAACTTTGCAAAGCTAAAAAAACAGGGACCTTCTTATGAGTTCCGCTTCAAACAATGTCCCAAGATAACTCACACTGCATAATCTCTTTGAACATTATGTACTCCTCCATATCGCGATCTTTCTCGTCCAGAGGCGTAGTGTATGATTCGAGCATCGTTTCTTCGTTGGGATCGTAATCTGGATCCGATTCGCTGTCATCGTCGTCATCGTCTTGGATTACATTCGCTGACATATTAAGACCGGCTGCACCACCTCCCGAACCCAAAACCTGTCGTCCTAGATTTTCCAAATATTGCTGACCTTTCTCGTCTATGTCGTCTTCATCCGAACTCAATTCTTCTAACACAATTATGGAAGTTTTAGAAATATTGAAACATTAACAGTTAGTTAATACCTTCTGAATCGCCATCATCTGTCTCACTTTCTTCTTCTTCGCCATCTTCTTGTTCTCTGGCCGCGTAAGCCCTCTTCAAACCGTCGAACAGCATCACAAGGGCGGGAACTATTCGGGGAGCCAACGTCGTTACAATATCGGGTCTATTTGGCAT